TACTTTAAGTATAGCTTATGTTTAAGTTCAATATCGTTATTATGAACTTATAAACAATATATATATATATATATATATATATATATATATATATATATATATTATAAAATATAATATAAAAATTGTTATTATAATATCTTTAACTACTCCTGGTACGGGGAATCTGGTTTGAAGGGTCGCATAGGGTTGTTGGATTTTAGAAGTGCTTAAACGCCAAAATGGTCATACCCTCCGGTGTTTCATGTATGGCACCTGTCTATACATAGTGGTTGAAAAGTATTGTTTAACACTTACAAAAAAATATCGCACGTAAATAGTCGCAATAAATATTAGACTAAAATCTAGTGGTAATAATACTAGGTTTTGTCGAAGGAAAATAGAATCATTAGAAGCGAAGCGCTGCTCTAGTTTGGAATCATCACTTTAACAAGTGAGTGCATAGTTACTTTCATCTTACAGATAGATATGAAGTATTTAATATAAATTATGTGTTATGTGTGCATATTATCTGTGTTCTTGATTCTTATTCTAGATGAACAAAATATACATGTTTTATTCGATTTAAACTGTATAAGTATTTTATACATATAATTATGACGAGTAAAGATGGGTAGATTAAAGATGAGATGAGGTGAGAGATGAAAGATGAGATGAATGATGAGATGAATGACGATATAGATGATGAGAGGTGAAAGATGATGAGAAGCGATGACCCAAGCGATGACTCAGTCATCTAGCAGAGTATAGATCAACCACGGACTATTCTAAACAGTCCAGTGGAACACTAGCAGGCTCGCAACCTGTAGGTGTTGTTAACGATGTGTTCACTAGATGTACTCTAAAAACTCATTGACATGTATTGTGGGTGGACTCCCTAAAATAATACTGTCAATAAAAGAGATAAACCCTGGCAGCTATGGATTTAGCGCCTCACAAACGAACATTGGCAGATATGGACTTAGCGTCTGTTAAATGAACCCTGGCAACGATGGAATTCATGCTTATTCCTTAGGACAATCCTTAGGAATAAATATTAAGGAATAGATGATTCTTAGGAAAGCTACCTAAGAATAAAGAAGATAATGGGGATGGGTAATTAGGTTAATTGTTTGATGATGAAACATAATAATTATATTATTGTGGGTTGAAAACCCTATGTACTCACCAGGTTTCCCAACCTGGCCCACTCAGTTTATTTGTATCGCAGGTATCGATACGAAGCTACATTACACTGAGAGATTAAAGGAGATGTAAATCACTAGTGTAAATAAGGTATGTCTATGCTTATGTTTCTTTATTGACGATGACATCCCAAAGTTTTAATATAAACAGAGTACATTTGTTCAGAAATGTTTTGATAATATATTTATCATGTTTTCTGTGAACAAATTCCGCAATATTATTCTTAAAAATGAATACTCTGATTTTCAAATAAGCATAAATAAATTTTTTAAAATAACCGTGAATTTGGGGATGTCATAGTTGGTATCAGAGCAATAGTTTAAGTAAACTACGAATTTTATGAAATTTCTAGACTTAAACTTAGAATGGTAAGCGATGATTGTGAGATGAGTGTCTGCTATATTTAGGATGTATGCCTGAATAGACACGAGCACTAGCTTGTTTTAGGAAAGATGCCTAAAATACTTTTATATGCTAAATGATTTATGTTATAGCTATAAAGATGCCTTATGTGCTATTATTTGATCGGATCTATGGTTTATTGCCGACCGGAACTGGAAATTGTATGTGTTCAGATTTCTAAAAGTTTAACTACGGTATTAGAACTGGCATGTAACTTTTCAGAGTGATAAGAAGATTTATACGTCTATCATAAATAAAGCTTTCCTATCTTAATTTTCGTCACTGCGCACCAAATGTCTGATTCGGTGTATAAATCGACATGGTGAGAACTCAAAGCGGATTAGGAAACGAAAGTCTACAACCTGAGCCTAAGCATGTGATGGGTCAAGCATCGGTTGTTTCACCTGTACCCGAACCTATCACAAAGGCATAAGTTCAATCAATAATGTGAACCATGTTCGACTGATCAAATGGAGGAAATGAGAAAGCTTACGATAGTGAATGATACCTATCAGAAGATATTGTAAGATTGGTATCTTGCTTTTAGAATACGTATGATAAAATAACAGTACGTATAGAGGAGTACGGTACATCTGAATGTACACATTTGATTGGTGTGATGATAGAACGATTGGTGTAATTCCTAAAGTTGTCCTATCGTCTGGCATGTCCACCACCATTCGAGTTGAAGCAGAATTGATGGTTGAAGATACGCATGGAAGAAGTCCTAGTAGAGTCTAGGGAAGTTTTTGTGATTATTTGGACACATTCATATGTGTTAAATCGTTTTGTGATTTTAAGAAAAATCCATATTTGTCTTCTTTGGCAACTTCTTGGTTCAAATTATTTATTTTTATATATAACCATTTTTCGTGCATTTTGGTTATATAAAAGTTGCCTTAGAAAAAACAAAGAGTTGTTTGTTATAATATTTGATATGTTATTGTGTATAAACAAGCCATTTGGACTTTTGTGTTGTGTTTAGTTGATAATTATTTATTCATAAGATGTAATAGATAAATGGGTAATTTTTCATTTGTTGATTTGTTGTAATAAATTAGTTACAATATGAAGAAATGACCTCCTAGAAGATGATTGTTTAGTGCTCGTTTTTCGATCACTAAATGAACCAAAAAGCTTATTTGTGTCCCTGGATTTTACAATTTACATCATTTTTTGAGCTTAAAAAGATAAATTTACGTTAATGAGTGTAATCGACATAATATTTCTCAGTTTGTATTTTTGTACCCATTCAGTTGGGTTTTTGACCTGTCTTGCATGGGTTCCTCATCTCTTATTCTATAGGACGATGGGAGTTGGGGTTCTTCTTATGAAGTCCAAAGTTCTTAAAGGAATTGACGGCTCATTAACTTGTTTTTACAAGTTCACCTTAGCTTCTTAGGTCCCCTCCTCCTATTCTAAAGGTTGGTGGGAGATGGTTTTCTTGCACGAAATCCATAATATAGCACATTGTGCTTTGCATCGGAATTAACGGTATTCATTTTACTTGTTATTGCAAGTGCAACCTGTCTCTCATGGGTTCCCCACCGCTTAGTCTACGGGTGTTGGTGGGAGTTGGACTTCCTCTTATGAAGTTCAAAAATCTATAAAGAATTGACGGATTTTATCTTGTATATACAATGATGCCTAAGCTTCTGAGGCCCCCACCACTTATGCCACGAGTCTTGGTGGGAGTTGGACTCATATTATAATGTCCAAATGGTTTCGACAAGGAATTGAAGGATTCAAAAGAAGAAAATTTGATTACGAGCAAATAAATGCGAAAAAAAGATGTTTGACAGATTGACCATGTCTCAGTGTTTTCAGCATATCTGGCTCCTTGGGACTCCGATTCAGGCGATTCAAGATGTTTCGGAAACTAGGCACAATTATCTACAAGTTTTAAGTTTTGAGTTTTCGCTGAATCGGTCGTTTTCCTGGTCATAATCGACTTGGAAGTTGGGATCTGTTTGCTGTTAGAAAAAAAAATATAAAAGCTGAAAATTAAAAATTGAATTAAAGTTGAAAGCTAAGGGATAAAGTTGTGCAATGGCTGAAAGTTGGAGGCTCATCAATGTATATATGCTTTATATAAATTCTTGTTTACGTGAAAAAAAAAAAAAAAAGAGGGACGGCAACGGAGAAAAAAAGAAAAAAAATATTTACGCAAGGAAACCCTACGGGCAGAAAGTGGGAGCGATTGAAGAGGACATATGACTTCATTATTGAGGCTACGTATGCATGTGCAATCACATATACGAAGTAAATCAATTTGGTCCTTTACTTAACTTTCTAGTTATTTTGTTTATTTATTTATTTTTGTATCTCCTGCTATGTAACTTGCTTTCAGTTGATAACTTGCTTTCAATTCATTGTGTGTTAGTTTTATGTTTGTTTTAAATATGATGTTTAAACTTTGTTTATTTACTGTTATCGATTTTAATTTTATGGAGTAGTAATTGTGTAGATTTGGTTGACTAGGGTAAGATGGTAATTTTAATGTAGTTGATTTTGTTTGAACCAATTTTGTTGAAATCGAATAACATATTCAAATGTGAGCTTATTTTAAAAATATAAATTTTGACGGGTAAAATTTGATTATGGCTAGCACTTGATCAATGTTAGTTAGATTTAATTTGTTTGGTTTGAATTTTAATATTTACATGCAATATTGACTACGAGAAAAGCTTTATTTTGACATCATTTGAATATAAGTGTGCGGTTTGGTTATCTCGCTTAAACTTAACATAGACGTGTATTAGGGCATTTTTAACAAAACCATTGGACTTAATGTTTTTTAAAATCATGAACTACATAGAGATATGAGTGAATTTTTTTTTAATCGAATCATGAGATCGAGAGGTAATTGATAACTATTGTTGGTGTTAAGTTATTCGTTTCTGTATAATTGGTTTAACAAATTAGTTGCCTTAGAAGAACCATTGAACCCGTATAAGTCAATTGAATCTCGTTTTTCTCATAATTGTTAAATCGTTTAATTGTTTTCCTTGTTTGTTCGATTATTTTAGTTTTCATTTTACCTTGCTGAATTTAGTTTAATTTTATTTTCATAGTTTCCTTAGTTTAATAAAATCAATCACTTTTGCAATCAATTGCCTAGTTCACTCTTCCTTAGAATAAGATAGTCTCTGTTGGTTCGATATTTGGTGTTACGACTATATTACTTGCACGACCTTGTACTTGCGAGTACGCGTTTTCGTCAACAAGTTTTTGGCGCCTTTGCCGGGGACTATTTTTTATGTTTAAGTTAGAAAATTAGGTAGTTGTTAGGCTCTTAAACATCTTGAAGATATTTTACTCTGGCCGACCGAAGATTCAAAGCACCTGAATTTGCGTTTGATTGGGAGATTGAAAGAACTTTGAGAGGGTTGAGGAGACTTCGGATTAAAGAAGAAATGGGAGATAACGGAAACGAAAACAATAATGGAAATAGAGGTTTCGAAGGAATAAACCCGCCGATTGTCAGCGCAACGATTAATGTTGAAAATTTTGAATTCAAACCCGTGATGTTTCAGATGATCAATAACAATGGTCTCTTTGGAGGAATGTCTAGTGATGATCCTTTGTCCCATATGTGTTCCTTTAACCAGATGTGTGATAATTTCAAACAAAGAGGCATGACGGCTGATGCATTTAGGCTGAGATTATTTCCCTACACACTACAAGGGAAAGCTCGTGACTGGTTTGAGTATTGGCCTTCCATCACCACTTGGGAGGAATCAAGAGAAAAATTCCTAAAAAGATTTTTCCCACCCACTCGAAATGAAAATCTAAGAAATGTCATCACATCATTCCGACAAATGGATGGTGAATCGTTATGGGAAGTGTGGGAGAGATGGAACAATTTGCTGAGAAAATGTCCAACACATCGACTCCGTGATGATGTGAAACTTGAGACATTTTACCAAGGTTTAGATGCTCAAACACGCATGTTAGTAGATACATCAGCTAGAGGAGCTTTGCTTACAAAGAGCTATGACGAGAGTGTGAAGATATTGGATAGAATAGCAACCAATAATTTCCAGTGGCCCACAGTTAGGGTACATGCAAGTGGTTCGAAAGGAAGTACATCAGATGAAGCTCGTCTTGCAGCTCAAAATGATGCATTAGCAGCTGAGTTGGCTTCGATCAAAAGTATGATGAAGAATATGATGTCAAGCAGTGGGATGAAAGAAAAGAAGGTTGACTTTTGTGTGGTTTTTTAAGGAGTGCATGATTATAGTGATTGCCCACAGAATCCTAAATCTGTGTTTTTCATGGGCAGACAAAATTTCCCAAGGCAAAATAACCCATACTCTAAAACATATAATCCAGGATGGAGAAATCATCCTAATTTCTCATGGGGTGGACAGCAACAGCAACAAATGCAACCTCAGCAATAGCAGTTTCAGCAAAGGCCTCAAAACCCTCCGGGGTTTTATCAAATACCAAATCAGCAAGTGAGACCACAAGGAGGTGCATTCCACCAGACATCAGGAAGTAGTTCAAAACCAGCAGCACCTTCATCAAATCAAGAGATGTCACCTTTCAAGAAAGCCATGATGGAGTTTATTATCAAACAAGATCAAAAGACTGAGGCACGTGAGAAGAATCAAGCAATTGCTATGAGAAATTTGAAAAATCAATTAGGGCAATTAGCACAAGCACTGAACTCTCGAGAACCTCGAACGTTGCCAAGTAACACTCAAAATCCAAGTAATGGCAATGATAAAAGGCAATGCAATGCCATCACGCTTAGATCGGGAAAAGAGTTAACTCCAAAGAATCATGACTTACCAGCCACGAAAGATGAGCAACAGTCGGTAAGTGTTGAGACTGATAAGAAGAAGCATGATGTAAAGGATGATGAAAAAGAGTATGTCGAGATTGAGGACATAACCGATGAGGAATAATGGCAGAAGAAAGTGAACAAGGAAGGTCCAACAAGTTCAAGTCTAAGTGCTGGAAATCAAAAGAAGGCCCAAGAAAAAGATGCTCCAACTGGTGCGACAGTTGCACCAACAACTTTGCCCTTCCCGCCTAGGGAAAATAAGTCCAAAGTTGATGATGGGCAATTTAAGAAGTTTCTAGAGATCCTTTCTCAGCTTCATATCAACATCCCTTTTGTTGAAGCCTTAAAACAAATTCCCACATATGCAATGTTTATGAAGGATGTTCTTACAAAGAAAAGAGTTTTTGGAGAATTTGAGATTGTTGCAACGACAAAAAGTTGCACATCAATAATCCAAAACAAATTGCCTGTGAAAAAGGATGATCCAGGTAGTTTCGTTCTACCTTGTAGAATTGGAATGTTAGACAAGATAGGCTTATGTGATTTGGGAGCAAGCATAAATGTGATGCCTTTGTCTATTTTCCGAACATTGGGAATTGGAGCAGCTAGGCTAACCACTATCTCACTCCAGCTGGGAGATCGATCGGTGGTATATCCAGAAGGTAAAATTGAGGATATTGTTATCAAAATTGACAATTTCTTTGTTCCTGCTAATTTTATCATTTTGGATTATGAAGCTGATGACGATTGTGGAATAATTTTGTGAAGGCCATTTTTAGCTACCGTTGGAGCTTTGATTGATGTGAAAAAAGGAGAAGTCACATTGAGAGTGAATGATGAGAAAAGGACGTTCAATATGTTTAAGGCTGTGAAGCAACCTTTTAATATGGAAGAGTGCTCATTTGTACGAGTCATGGATAACTTGGTAAATGCAGAAGTGGCTCAATTGAGTAAAGTGACTCATGATATTGAGGAAATTGACGAATGGAAAGTAAAGGAAGATGTGAGATGGGTCAAGGAGGAGTTGGACCTGAAGGATAGGGTAACTGCACCAACATTACCCTCTATTGAAAAAGCACCAGATTTAGAGCTGAAGCAGCTTCCAACACACTTGAAATATGCATATTGAGAGATGATGATACATTGCCTGTAATTATCTCATCTCAATTATCTAGTGTGCGAGAAAAAGAATTGATTGATGTTCTCAAGGAAAATGAGAAAGTGATTGGATGGACGTGGGTCGATATAAAAGGAATCAGTCCAGCGATGTGTATGCATAAGATAAATTTGGAGGAGGGAGCAAAAACATCTGTTGAGAACCAAAGGAGACTGAATCCATTGATGAAGGATGTTGTGAAAAAGGAAATCATCAAATGGTTAGATGTTGTGATTATCTATCTGATTGCCGATAGTGAGTGATTAGTCCAGTACATTGTGTTCCCAAGAAGGGTGGAGCAACAGTAGTCCAAAATGAGAATGGGGAAATGATCACAAAGAGTATAGTGACAGGCTGGAGGATCTGTATAGATTACAGAAAGTTGAATACCGCCACTAGAAAGGATCATTTCCCATTACCGTTCATTGACCAGATGTTGGATCGTCTTGCTGGTAAGTCATTTTACTGCTTTTTGGATGGTTACTCTGGATATAATCAGATTTCTATTGCACCAGTAGATCAACACAAAACTACTTTCACGTGTCCATTTGGTAACTTTGCTTATAGACGCATGCCTTTTGGTTTATGTAATGCCCCAGCTACATTCCAAAGGTGCATGATGTCTATTTTTTTTTCAGATATGGTTGAAAATTTTGTCGAAGTCTTTATGGATGATTCTTCAGTCCATGGCAATGACGGCGCTTATATAGGGCCAGGGGGCTGTGCCCCCCCCTATTTTTGTTATATTTAGTCCACAACTATTAAAAAAAGTTACATATTATGCCCAAAACTATAAAATTTGACTTTGGCCCCCCTGCTCTTCAATTTTTATACATATTCTTTATTCGCTCCCCTCCCAAAAAAAAATCAAAACTTCAAGCTTCGTCACTGGTTCATGGTGATACATTTGAGAGTTGCCTAAAAAATCTGAATGTAGTATTGCAAAAGTGTGTCCAACATAATCTTGTGCTAAATTGGAAAAATGTCATTTTATGGTAAAAGAGGGTATTATGTTGGGACACAAGGTTTCTAAAAAAGGAATAGAGGTTGATCGGGTAAAGATTGAGATTATTAAAAGACGTGAAGCACCTGTCAATGTCAAGGGTATTCGCAGCTTTCTAGAGCACGCTGGGTTCTATAGGCATTTTATAAAAGGTTTCTCAAAAATTGCAAAGCCACTTACCCAACTTTTGGAGCAAGATCGAGAGTTTATCTTTGATGGTACATGCAAAAAGAGCATTTGAGGAGTTGAAAAGAAGACTTACTAGTGCACCTGTCATTGTTGCACATGTCATTGTTGCACCTGATTGGGATGAGCCATTTGAGAACATGTGTGATGCACGTGATACAGCTATTGGTGCAGTACTTGGGCAACGAAGAGGAAATTTTTTCCACACGATTTACTATGTTGGAAACACCCTGAATGGCGCCCAATTGAACTACACAACCACTGAAAAAGAGTTTTTAGTTGTGGTATTCTCACTTGAAAAGTTTGATGGGTTTTTAAGCATTCTAACACTTCCTAAGTGTACATGCAACCCTAATAACCTTGAATCTATGTTTTCTCTATATACATGCAAATTTCTTTTTCAAGGTTATTTCCTAACTAGCATGGCATGGGGATTACATAAAACATAAAAACTAGTAGAAATACATACCTTGTTGTTGCTTGGATTCCTTCAAGACTTTGTGAGCCTAGCACCCCAAATGTTGTGCCTCAAATGCTTCACACAACACCACAAGACTTGGAATAACTTGAGAGAATGTCACTTAGCCTCAAAATCGGTTATGCCCTCTCTAGTAACACTAGGTCACCATTTTGCTAGCCATAGGGTTCCTTTTATAGTGTTGTCACAATTAGGGTTTACACATGAATGCCCTTAATTGTCATGACTCTTGATTTCTCATGACCCATGGGTTTGTAACTCCCATGGACTATCCATGGAGCTCCATATGGTTATAACCAAACCCATAAACCATGGATCATTAATCCACCATAAAAGAATTGATGATTGTCATAATCAACCCTATATATTTAATTAGTCTCACTTTGATCACCAAATTAATACTAGATTAATACTTGATCAATACTAATTAAATAATACTATTATTAATATATTAGAACTTATAATATATTAATAATCATAAGTGCCTTATTCTCTCATTTAGTCTATCCAAGTATTGCAATGCCATGCAACCCAAATGGACCATGCCGGGTCGGGTCAAGTACATACCAAATAAAGTTATGGACTTAAACACTATATCCAACAGTCTCCCACTTGGATAAGTCTAATAACTATATTTGCAAATATGACTTCAAAATCCGACTAGCAATCGTAGCTCTTTCAAAGTCTCTCGGAACTGAGATGATGATGATACGCCATTTAAGATAAGTGATCATATAATCCTCTGTTCTCATGATATCAGCCGGACAAACACATGGAACATGGTCTTACTTATTGTCCAGCATTTGTTTCTCGATCTCTGATTTGTTTCGACATAGAACTAAATTGAACACATCAATTAGGTTCTGACCGGGCCCGGTACATAGGTCAAAACCAAATCATCGAGGGGCCCAGATAGCGCTTCTATTTCTAGAAGGAACAGATAAACTTCGACTGATATGCTTGTACTAACTACTTGTTGAATTATTCACAAACGCACGTTTTATGACATCGAGTTACCAATGCATTTTCGTGCAATCAATGAATAACCAACTCATATTCAACAACTCATATCTCTAGGTATGAAGATTTATATGATATTACCGTCTCACGATCACTCGAGATAAATTCCATGAAGTGATGCAAGTGAGCGTGGGTTGGATCCAATACTCAGCCCTTATGAGTACTCATGAATGTTGTAGCAACCATTGCATTGTCCAAAGCACTTTTAGACAAATCATACAAGCCAAATTCATGACAGTCTTAAATCAATACTTACTTCCAAAGTTTGACTGACTGTGGATGGTTTGAATAATAACATAATTATTCTGGAAGTAAAAACATGCAAAATTGAAACATAGTAAACAATCAACACAAGATAGTAACACCTTACTCATAAATAAATAACAACTTTTATTTATCATCAAATGTCAATTACATTTTACAAGTTTCAGGAATCTAATTATTGAAACTAATATCATCCTTCAGCCCAATGCGCCTCGCATGCTGTAAATGCTTAACCCTGCTCAGTCCCTTCGTGAGGGGATCTGCCGGGTTCTCATCTGATGATACCCTCTTAGCCACGAGGAGTCCTTCTTCTATTCGATGTCTGATGAAATGGTATTTTCTGTCAATGTGCCTAGATCTCCCGTGATCTCTCGGTTCCTTAGCCAAAGCAACCGCACTTTCATTGTCACAGAAAATTTCCATTGGCTCCTTTATAGCTGGTACAACTCCAAGGTCTCCGATGAAGTTCTTTAGCCATATCGCCTCCTTAGCTGCTTCACTTGCTGCTATGTACTCTGATTCACAAGTAGAATCAGCTACTGTCTCCTGCTTGGAACTTTTCCAAGTAATTGCCCCTCCATTTAGGATAAAGACCCAGCCTGACTGAGAGCGGAAATTATCCCTATCAGTCTGGAAGCTAGCATCGCTATATCCTTCCACTCTCAAGTCATCACTGCCTCCGAGGGTAAGGACCCAATCCTTAGTCCTCCGCAGATACTTGAGAATGTTCTTTACCGCTGTCCAGTGTGCCTTGCCAGGGTTCCCTTGATATCTACTGACCATGCTCAAAGCAAAAGCCACATCAGGGCGAGTACAAGTCATAGCATACATGATCGAGCCCACAGCGGAAGCATATGGTATTTGACTCATCTCAGCTATCTCAGCCTCTGTACTCGGACTCTGAGTCTTACTCAGCTTGGCATTACTCTGGATTGGTAATTCTCCTTTCTTGGAATCTTGCATACTGAACCTCTTCAGTACCTTATCCACATAAGTACTTTGACTAAGTCCAATTAGTCTCTTACTCCTATCTCTCAATATCCTTATCCCTAGGATATAGGCAGCTTCCCCAAGGTCCTTCATAGCGAAACACTTCCCAAGCCAGGACTTAACCTCCTGCAAGGTTGGGACGTCGTTTCCTATGAGAAGTATGTCATCCACATACAACACCAAGAAGCTAACTATGCTCCCACTAGCCCTGACATACACACAAGACTCATCCTCACTCCTAGAAAAGCCAAACTCTTTGACTTTCTCATCAAAGCAAAGATTCCATCTGCGAGATGCTTGTTTCAATCCATAAATGGATTTATCAAGCTTACACACTCTATTAGGGTATCTTGTATCGACAAAACCCTCTGGTTGAGCCATGTAAACATCCTCAGCCAACTTTCCATTAAGGAAAGCGGTTTTGACATCCATTTGCCATATTTCATAATCATGAAATGCAGCTATGGCTAACAATACTCTAATAGACTTAATCTTAGCTACTGGTGAGAAGGTCTCATCATAGTCAACTCCCGGAGTTTGAGTAAAGCCCTTCGCAACCAGTCGCGCTTTGTAAGTATGTACCTTCCCATCCATGTCGGTCTTCTTCTTGAAGATCCATTTGCACCCAACTGTCTTACGACCTGGTACATTGTCAACCAAGTTCCAAACTTGATTGTCATACATGGACTGAATCTCGCTGTCCATAGCCTCCTTCCATTTAGCAGACTCAGGGCCTGCCATGGCTTCCCTGTAATTATTAGGTTCATCCAAATCTATTAGTGTACTATCACTAATAAATGTATCACCTTCAGTGGTGATGTGATAACCATAATAAAAATCAGGTGTGTTCCTCACCCTAGTGGAACGTCTTGGAGGTACAGACTCATCTATCGGATCAACAGGAGTTTCCTCCTCAGGTTGGTCGATAGCATTTGAGGTTCCTTCACCACTTGACTCTTGAAGCTCTTCAAGGTCAATTTGCCTCCCACTGTCCCCTTGGCTTATGAATTCTCTCTCACGAAAGACTCCTCTTCTTGCTACAAAAACCACATTATCACTGGGTCTGTAGAAGAGGTAACCAAAGGATCTCTGTGGGTAGCCGATGAAAATACACCTCTCACTTCGAGGTTCAAGCTTATCATGAGTCTCACGCCTCACGAAAGCTTCACAACCCCAAATTTTGATGTGGTCCAAATTGGGAACTTTCCCAGTCCACATCTCGTGAGGTGTTTTGGCAACCTTTTTAGTAGGGACTAGATTAAGGATATGGGCGGCAGTCTCTAAGGCATACCCCCAGAAAGAGATTGGTAACGAAGCTCGACTCATCATGGAACGAACCATATCCAACAAGGTTCGATTGCGCCTCTCAGCTACACCATTCAACTGTGGTGTTCTGGGAGGTGTCAATTGTGAGACAATCCCACATTCCTTAAGATAGTCAAGGAACTCAATGCTAAGATACTCTCCTCCCCGATCGGATCGGAGCATCTTGATGTTCCTGCCCAATTGATTCTCCACTTCCTGCTTAAACTCTTTGAACTTTTCAAAGGTTTCTGACTTATGCTTGATTAAGTAAATATATCCATATCTACTGTAATCATCAGTAAAAGTCACATAATAGCGATTAGCATCCCTTGTAGCAACTCTGAAGGGCCCACACACATCCGTGTGTACAAGGTCCAACAAACCTTCACCCCTATCACAAGTACCTGTGAAGGGTGACTTTGTCATTTTTCCAAGTAAACAAGACTCGCAACTATCATCTGACTTGAGGTCAAATGATTCCAAGACTCCAGCCTTTTGGAGTTGGCCTATGCGCTTCTTGTTAACATGTCCAAGACGACAATGCCACAAGGATGCTTTATCCAAGCTATCTGAAGAATCAATATACAACACATTATTTCCTAGATTGTCTACAACATTCACAGCTTCATATACACCATCACAAGGTAATGCTTTAAAGTAAAGTACATCATTGTAATAAACATTAATAGCACCATTTTTATTATCAAATGAAAATGAAAAACCTTGTTTGTACAAGCCATGAAAAGAAATAATATTTCTCGCCATTTCGGGCGAGTAACAACACTTATTCAAATCTAACATTAACCCATTATTAAGCAATAAAGAATAAACTCCTATCTTGGTAACAGGTGATGCTTTCCTGTTGCCCATGACTAAGTTTATCTTCCCGTGCTCCACTTGCTCACTTCTTCTTAGTGCCTGCAAATCAGTACAAATGTGAATACCACACCCTGTATCAAGCACCCAAGAATTAGCATTAGATGAGTTGTTAGACAATATTGTGTAAATACCTGCATGGGTGGGTTTAACCTTCCCATCCTTTAGATCTTGCAGATATTTGGGGCAGCTTCGCTTGAAGTGTCCCTTATCCTGGCAATAGAAGCACTGTGCTTCCTTTGGGTTTGAAGAAGGAGTAATGGGACCTTTCTTTGTCCCACTTGAAGAGGAACCATCAAGAGTCTTACCCTTGGTACCCTTCGAAGGGCTTTTCCTCTTCTTACCTTTTCCCTGCCCAATAGCCAGAACAGGGGCTGTTGAAGGAGTAGAAGTAGCAACCGCTTTACCCTTAAGGCCATTTTCAGCTGTCCTTAAGAGTCCTTGAAGTTTGCTAAGTGTGACTTCCTCCTTGTTCATATGATAAGTCATACGAAACTGATCATAACTTGGAGGTAAGGAATGGAGAATGATGTCAATCGCCATTTCCTCAGGAAAGTCAACATTTAGCTTCAGCAACCGGTCAACGAACCTTTGCATCTTCTGCAAGTGACCGGTGATGGGTTCACCATCCTTCATCCTTGCGGTTATCATGGAGGAGATGATTTCATACCTCTCCTGACGCGCGCTCTGATGGTACCTTTCCATCAGATCCAGGTGCATCTCATAGGGGTAGAAATATTCATAGGATTTTTGAAGTTCATTGGGTCATGGTGGCCATCATGATGCATGCTACTTTAGTAGCATCCTTTTCATGTGCAACAAACTCCGCAAACTCTTCAGGAGTAGCAGTGGCTTCATTCACAACCTTAAGCTCCTATCGAGGACATATTCTTTGTCCTCATAGCGGGTAATCATTCTGATGTTTCTGATCCACTCATTGAAATTGGATCCATCAAAGATGACCTTACCACACAAGTTCATAAGGGAAAAGGAGCCTGTTGGGTTTGAGCCAGAAGCATTGTTGGAAGACATCTGAAAGGAAAGAAAGACAAGTTTCATTAGATTAGGAATCCTTAATAATTCACCCAAATGAAATATTAAGGCTAGGATCCAACAAACTATTTATAGTTGGAAGAGGGATGCCGTAATCCATACTATAAAATATTTGAAGGTAGGTAAATGACGATTTACCAATTTCCACCATAAGAACGAAATATTTTATTATTAGGTTTTATTGGTTTTGAAACTCCTAGATCTTTTGAGATACATTGAACTTTTCAATGGCATGTTTGAATCTCGATTGTGCCCTCTCAAGTTTGTGACTGGGATGCCGAGGATCACAAACAAGGTGTGAATAACCATACAAATTGACTTGGTACCCTCAACAATATTACCTAATCGATGTGTCGGTTAACCACACACGCTCCACCGATCTATAATAAGGTCAAGTTACCCTTTGCCACTCTTACTAGTCCATGTTAGTGTGCCGGTTAACCACACACGCTCCACTAACGACTTGGTAAGGTACAAAGTGTAATTTTATGGGCTAGCACCAATTTCACATTTTCCTAAAGTAACTAAGATTGGGAATTTGTAATGTATAGTTACTTTATAATTCATTATACTTTTAACGAGTATTTAAAGTCGTATCCTACCCGTTCGGCTAACGACCCTCCACCGATCAAGGAAGCGGTGGGTGAGAGTGGACACCCATTAAGTCACCATTTTATAGGCAACAACCTTATACCCCCCTTATAGACCGGCTTCGTGAATGAGGCCTACTAACGGTAAGAATGTCATATTCTTATACATATCTATATAATAAAATTATAATAATAGTATAAGTGTTGATTTTTAAATCTAAGGTTTAATTTGGAATTAAAGTATTAAAGTGTAAGACTTTTCAAATTCCAAAACTTGAGGGCAAGATTTGAAACTATTCCAAGTCTCTTCAATTTGTAACTTATGAGTTTTAATGATTCATAAAAATGAAGACTCTTCATTTTATGAAACCTCTTTAGTTCTTTAATCATAATTAAAAGAAGTGACTCTTGGTTATCCATAACTTGAGGACAAGTTATGGACACCATCATTTCCATTAAGATCATGAATTAAACATACATGGAGGTTACATATAATTCCTATGATCTTCTAAAAACTCATAAGAACACAAATTCATGTCAAGCAATTTCAAGAAATCATATAACTATATACAATACTTGAAAATTGATAAAAGTCATGTAAAATGGGTTAACATAATCATTATCATTTTGAAAAACAGATTTTACAAGTCCAAAACAGATTGGGATAATGATCTTAATCCATTTCCAGCAACAAAACTCGAAAAAACTGCCCAGCACGCTCCTACTCGCCGAGTGCATTATTCTACTCGGCGAGTAGAATGAATTTGTTCATGGACTCGGCGAGTCCTCCCCATGGACTCGGCGAGTCCAGTCGTCAGAATGCAGAATTTTCGATTTTTAAGCAGTTTTGCATCAAGTATACAGAAAACAATCCTAGGCTCTGATACCACTGATGGGTTTTTAAGCATTCTAACACTTCCTAAGTGTACATGCAACCCTAATAACCTTGAATCTATGTTTTCTCTATATACATGCAAATTTCTTTTTCAAGGTTATTTCCTAACTAGCATGGCATGGGGATTACATAAAACATAAAAACTAGTAGAAATACATACCTTGTTGTTGCTTGGATTCCTTCAAGACTTTGTGAGCCTAGCACCCCAAATGTTGTGCCTCAAATGCTTCACACAACACCACAAGACTTGGAATAACTTGAGAGAATGTCACTTAGCCTCAAAATCGGTTATGCCCTCTCTAGTAACACTAGGTCACCATTTTGCTAGCCATAGGGTTCCTTTTATAGTGTTGTCACAATTAGGGTTTACACATGAATGCCCTTAATTGTCATGACTCTTGATTTCTCATGACCCATGGGTTTGTAACTCCCATGGACTATCCATGGAGCTCCATATGGTTATAACCAAACCCATAAACCATGGATCATTAATCCACCATAAAAGAATTGATGATTGTCATAATCAACCCTATATATTTAATTAGTCTCACTTTGATCACCAAATTAATACTAGATTAATACTTGATCAATACTAATTAAATAATACTATTATTAATATATTAGAACTTATAATATATTAATAATCATAAGTGCCTTATTCTCTCATTTAGTCTATCCAAGTATTGCAATGCCATGCAACCCAAATAGACCATGCCGGGTCGGGTCAAGTACATACCAAATAAAGTTATGGACTTAGACACTATATCCAACAAAGTTCAGATCATATCTTATTGGTGCAAATGTGATTGTATACATGGATCATGCAGCAATCAGATACTTGATGGCAAAAAAGAATGTCAAGGCAAGACTGGTCAGGTGGATTTTGTTGTTGCAAGAGTTTGATCTAGAGGTGCGAGATAAGAAAGGAGTTGAGAATGTGGTTGCAGATCACCTCTCAATGTTAGAAAGTGAAAGTACAAAATATGATCAGCCAGTGATTCAAGATAGCTTTCCAGATGAGAGGATTTTGAGAGTGAGTAGAGAACACCCATGGTATGCTAACATTGTGAATTACTTTGTAGGTGTTGTATTTCCTGATGGGTTTAGTTGGCATCAAAAGAAGAAGCTAATGTATGATGCTAAATTCTATTTTTGGGATGAGTCGTATTTGTTTAGACGAAATGCTGATAAGATGTGGACGAGGTGTATCCTAGAAATGGAACAAAAGCAAATTCTAGAAAAATGTCACAACTCAGAATACGGAGGTCGCTTTCAAGGTGAAAAAACTACAATACGTTTCCTTCATTCAGGATTTTATTGGCCAAGTCTATTTAAAGATGCGTATGAGTTTGTGAAAAGATGTGACAGATGCCAGCAGACTGGAAATATTGGAAGAATACAAGAGATGCCACTAAGTAATATAGTGGAAGTGGAGTTGTTTGATGTTTCGGGGATTGATTTCATGGGACCCTTTGTGCCTTCTGATGGAAAGATGTATATCTTAGTTGTAGTAGGTTATGTCTCTAAATGGGTTAAAGCTGTAGCATGTGTGAGAAATGATGCGAGAACCGTAATCAATTTTCTAAGGAAGCAGATATTATCTAGATTTGGCACTCCTAGGGCAATCATTAGTGATGAAGGTACTCATTCTTGCAATAGAATGTTGGGGGCGTCTTAGCTAAGTACCAGATAAAGCATCGAGTTGCCACTGCTTACCATCCTTAGACGAATGGTCTTGCTGAAGCCAATAACAAACAATTGATGACCATTCTTGAAAAAATTGTAAATGGGTCAAGAAAAGATTGGGCAATAAAGTTAGCTGACACTTTATGGGCTTATAGGACTACCTACAGAACAAGTTTGGGGACGTCCCCATATCAGCTAGTTTTTGGAAAAGCATGCCACTTGCCACTAGAGTTGGAGCACAAAGCTTTTTGGGTTTTGAAAGAGTTGAATTTAGACGTGAAGGCAGCTGGAAAGAAAAGAATGGAGCAGTTTGTGGAATTTGAAGAGTTTAGGATGCAAGCGTATGAGAATGCCAAAATTCAAAAGGAAAAAGTTAAGAAATGGCATGACAAGAAGATCTTGAAAAGGGAATTTGCTAAAGGACAATTGGTTTTACTTTTCAATTCATGATTAAAGTTATTCCCAAGAAAGTTGAAGTCAAGATGATATGGCCCTTTTAAGATTGTCAAGGTTTGTCCATGAGGTGCATTGGAGCTAATAAATAAGAATGGTGGAGAAAGATTCTTTGTGAATGGGCAACGAGTGAAACATTATTTTGAAGAAGAAAAAGAGGATGTGACTGTGCTTCACCTGAAGCCAGTTGGAGAATGATCTGGTTATTATTATTATTATTATTATTATTATTATTATTATTATTATTATTATTCTTGTTTTAGTTTTAGTTTTTATGTTTATTTTTATTTGTGTTTTTATTTAATTTTATTTTTATTTTTGTTGTTATTTTTTATTTTTTATTTATTTGTTTTGGTTTTGGTTTTATTTTATTTCTGTTTTTCTGAATTTCATTTATTTTTGCTTATGCATGGTTTCATATTTCATTTTATTTTTATTTGTTTTGTTCTAATAAATCTGTCGAGTGTGCAACCCTTGTTTGCTATCTACGTAGTTGGTGATGAAGTGAGAGTCGTGGTAAGGAAAATGTCCGAGCTATGCTTAGAGATCAGCCGTCAACAATATGAGTTCTTGGATTATCATATCATGTGAGATGACATGTCATCACGGATTATTCTTTTTATTCTATTTTTATTGTTCGGGATGAGCAATGTTTAAAGTTTGGGGATGTGTTTAGTGCTCATTTTTCGATCACTAAATGAACTAAAAATCTTATTTTTGTCTCCGGATTTCACATTTACATCATTTTTTGAGCTTAAAAAGATAAATTTACGTTAATGAGTGTAATCGACATAATATTTCTCGGTTGGTATTTTTGTACCCATTCAGTTGGGTTTTTGAACTTTCTTGCATGGGTTCATCATCTCTTATTCTATAGGACGATGGCAGTTGGGCTTCCTCTTATGAAGTCCAAAGTTCTTAAAGAAATTGACGGCTCATTAACTTGTTTTTACAAGTTTACCTAAGCTTCTTAGGTCCCCTCCTATTCTACAGGTTGGTGGGAGATGTTTTTCTTGCACGAAATCCATAATATAGCACATTGTGCTTTGCATCGGAATTGACGGTATTCATTTTGCTTGTTATTGCAAGTGCAACATGTGTCTCATGGGTTCCTCACCGCCTAGTCTACGGGTCTTGGTGGGAGTTGGACTTCCTCTTATAATGAAGTTCAAAAATCTAAAAGGAATTGACGGATTTTATCTTGTATATACAAGATTGCCTAAGCTTCTTAGGCCCCCACCACTTATTCCACGAGTCTTGGTGGGAGTTGGACTCATATTATAATGTCAAAATGGTTTCGACAAGGAATTGAAGGATTCGAAAGAAGAAAATTGATTACGAGAAAATGAAGGCGAAAAAAAGATGTTTAGCAGATTGACCATGTCTCAGTGTTTTCATCATATCTGGCACCTCGGGACTCTGATTCAGGTGATTCGAGATGTTTCGGAAACTAGACACAATTATCTACAAGTTTTAGGTTTTGAGTTTTCGCTGAATCGGTCGTTTTCCTGGTCATAATCAACTTGGAAGTTGGGATCTGTTTGCTGTTAGAAAAAAAATATAAAAGCTGAAAATTAAAAATTGAATTAAAGTTCAAAAGCTAAGGGCTAAAGTTGTGCAATGGCTGAAAGTTGGAGGCTCATTAATGTATATATGCTTTATATAAATTTTTGTTTACCTGGAAAAAAAAAAAAAAAAATGGATGGCACGGAGAAAAAAAAATTAAAAAAAATACTTACGCAAGGAAACCCTACGGCAAAAAGTGGCAGCGATTGAAGAGGACATATGACTTCATTCTTGACGCTACGTGCTGTGCAATCACTTATACGAAGTAAATCAATTTGGTCATTTACTTGTCTTTCTAGTTATTTTGTTTATTTATTTATTTTTTATCTCCTGCTACCTAACTTGCTTTCAATTCATTGTGTGTTAGTTTTATGTTTGTTTTAAATATGATGTTTAAACTTTGTTTATTTACTGTTGTCTATTTTAATTATGGAGTAGTAATTTTGTGGATTTGGTTGACTAGGATAAGATGGTAATTTTAATGTAGCTGATTTTATTTGAACCAATTTTGTTGAAATCGAATGGCATATTCAAATGTGAGCTTATTTTAAAAATATAAATTTTGACGGGTAATTTGATTTTGGCTAACACTTGATCAACGTTAGTTAGATTTAATTTGCTTGGTTTGAATTTTAATATTTACATGCAATATTTAACTTCGAAAGAAGCTTTATTTGTGACATCATTTGGATATAAGTGTGCGGTTTCGTTATCTCGTTTAAACTTAACATAGACTTGTGTTAGGACTTTTTTAACAAAACCATTGGACTTAATGCTTTTTAAAATCATGAACTACATAGAGATATGAGTGAATTTTTTTTAATCGAATCATGAGATCGAGAGGTAATTGATAACTATTGTTGGTGTTAAGTTATTCGTTTCTATATAATTGATTTAACAAATTAGTTGCCTTAGACGAACCATTGAACCCGTATAAGTCAACTAAATCTCGTTTTTCACATAATTGTTAAATCGTTTAATTGTTTTCCTTGTTTGTTCGATTATTTTAGTTTTCATTTTTACCTTCCTGAATTTAGTTTAATTTTATTTTAATAGTTTCCTTAGTTTAATAAAATCAATCATTTTTGCAATCAATTGCCTAGTTCACTCTTCCTTAGAATAAGATAGTCCATATGGGTTCGATATTTGGTCTTACGACTATATTACTTGCACAACCTCGTATACTTGCGAGTACGCGTTTTCGTCAACAATGACTTAACCATTTAAGACCATAATCTCAACCATAAGCTTCTACTTTTGGTTTTGGGCTTAATTATAGTATTAATGGTTTAAGTGTTGCAACTTTCACAACTTGAACATTTGAAGTCCTTTTGCAAGCAAGAGTTGACTTGGCAAGTGGGAGCTTGAAGACCTTGTGAAGTGTCCCTTAAGTCCTTTAGGAAAGACTTAATAATTGTTGTGATGGCTCACAAAAAATTATTACTAGACATGACTTGGTTTATACACATTATAATGCATGCATGTGATGTTTATTTTTACGTTATTGTATGTTATGTTTGTGTATGAAAATGAGTTTTACATGTCAAACAACACTCTATCACTATCTGCCAAGCTCATGTACGGCTACACCCGCAGACTTACAACATTCTATCACTATCTGACCGCTAGTGAATGCTACGGCTACCCCCGTAGTCTCACAACACATTCCATGCTAACTGACTACTAGTGAATGCTTCGGCTACCCCCGTAGTCTTACAACACTTTCCATACTATCTGATCGCTAGTGAATGCTACGGCTACCCCCGCAGTCTTACAACATTTCCCATACTATATACGGCTAGTGAATGCTACGGCTACCCCCGCAGTCTTACAACACTTTCCATACCGGTCGAACACGCACTCGACCTAACGCACAACTGAACCTAAGTCCTAACTGGAGCTCTAACCTGTTTCCAGAAACCTGCTATCTGATGCCAAGGAAAAGCATGAACCAAATGTTGGAACGTTTCCCGAACTTCCAACTCGCCCAATCCTCAACCTAGACGGCCACTCGACCGCCTTCCCCATTGACGGGGATACGAAACTCATCCTAGTTTCACATCAATTTCTGCTCTTGGATACCTGATCGATTCTCCCCCACTTAGATTAGACTAAGTCTTCATGGCACATGAGAATTGAAGGATTCTCAATCCTTCTTGCTTTCCAATAATCCACTGATGACAATCTGTGCTTACCAATGCTAGCGATCAACTACTAGTTAAACCCTAAGATCATCCATCCTCCGAAATCATAAAGAGTACTCTTGAAATCTGGTCCAATCTGACACCTCAATCCACCTCCCATGCTGACAACTAGAGGCCTTAATCTTCACTCTGGCTGACGAATCCGCGTTCCCACTTCCAATCTCGTAGCACCACTGAACTTTAACCGAACACAGCCTATGCGAAAATACAATTCTCTTGAACATCCAATGACCAACCACTTATGCACCTAACACCCGCAACTAACACCACCATCTTCATACAACCAGTCCTTTCCTAGCAACGGTAGTGCCTTGAACTTCCAAAGTTCTTCCATAGGCAATTGTCAACCATACCCGAACAAATGATAGAACCATTGAACTCTGACTTCACTGGAGAACTATTCCACTGATTCCAGACCAAAGGATCTTCCAAATAATACTTCTAAATGGATCCCAACAAAGATCCGGAATAGTAATGGTACACGCGGAACCCACTCCGCAAGATAC